GGCAGGACACGCTCTCGAGTGCTGCCGGTTGGGTGAGTCACCACTCAGGCACGGATCGCTGTCTGTGCTTCCACAGCTAATGTGGCCAGAACTGCGTAGGTGTGAATTACTTTGAAGGTATCATTATAGTTGGATTAAAGCGCGGTTCAATGTTGGTGCGGCATCCGCTGGGTCTGCTATCCTTCAAAACATTACCCTCACGCCGGGCTTCTTTATCAAATGCCGAGCTTGTCTTGGAAATGGCTTCAGTAGTGCGGGGTACACTTAGAGTTCCTCTTTGCTAAATGGTTTATTTTGGGAGCGCTTTGGCCTCTCAGTCAGGAGATTGTGGGTTCATGCCCCCTCGTCAGGATTTTGAGCTCACGGTCTAGGCTGACACTCCAGTGCAGTGGGACGGAGTCAGGCGTTTACAGCATTAATAACATTAATAATAATGCTGGCGAGGAGAGACCTCTTCTTAAAGTCAAAAGAAAGAACAAGTTATTCCCTTAGCACTGTTGTGTTGGCACGACATCTGAATCTGGGCTTATTATTGCAAAATCTCTTTGGTTGGTTGAATGCCCTGTATCTTATAATAATCCTAGCACTTGATATAGCGCCTTATCGCGCCTTCTAGACGGCTCAAAGCGCTTCACAGAATATATTGTAAAGTGACCAATTTATTATTGATTATTTTTTTTCTTGAGGGATTATTATCAGGCGTGTGGAGTAAGGAAAGTTGCCTAAGGTTTTGCTCTGTTGGGAATCGAACCCGGGTCTCTCGCTTGCAAGGCGAGTGCCCTAACCGCTGAGCTACTGGACTCCAGACTTAGCAGGACATGCTATCAATGCTATCAATTCTGTGCAGCTCAGTGCCTGAGTCAGGGAGAAAGGCAAAGCTCACTATTTTCCCCACTCAACAATTAATGGGCCCTTCAAAACACTGCTGCTTTAGTACCTCTTGATGTCTTAGTGATGGATTGATAGAGGAGTCGGCATGTAATATGCCTCATCTCTTATGTATGAGTAGAATTAATTCAGCAAAGCCCCTGGGACATGGTGCAGATATATAAGGTGCATACATTCATTTCACACCCCATCTCACGTTGGCGGTAAAGTCACATTGGGCCCTTAATGACTGCAGCTTGGGTCTTTGATTCATTGTGTGATTGAGTTCATTGCAGATCAGATCAAACCAGTGTGTTGGGTTGTTGAGAATGGACCCAATAATAATAATAATAATTAATCCTAGCATTTGATACACCAGCCAAGAAACCCATCAATAAACAATTACCTCAGAATGACTCCCCAGAACGTATTTGCTTAATAAAGGCTTCAGAAATAACTACACGTTATTGCGATCGCCCTGGAGGCAATTGTATAAAAAAAATCTCCTTTCCTAACCCTTCAATATACATTAGCCTGCATATATCTGCGCTGGGGAATAGGTGCACAGATTCCCTTTCATTCCCCCTTTGCTGTGATGTTCATTGCTTGCACCGAACAGCACGCTAACCGTTTTCGTCATGCAATTAAATGAGTCATTGTGCTGTGCCCTGTGCACATATTGAACTGCTAATTGTCTTGTCAACTGCCGAAGATGTGCAGCATGTTTTTTTTTTGCACAGAGTCGCTATTGAAGACTGAAATGTCTATTCCAACAGTCATTTGTGTTGGAAACCACAAAGGCAACTGGTTTATTGACCGAGCCTGAGCAGAGGGATTTATCACAGCTCTGTGATGTTTGCAAGCCTTCATCCCTCGAAGCTGTGCGTCATGACAGATTGCACACTGAGAGAGAGAGAGAGACACCGTCTCGGCATATTTGCGCGAGACCATGGCCTGGGGTAAAATCTCCGACACAATTGTTCCGTCGTTTGGTAACAGTCTTGACAGTGTAAAGGCTTTGCCTTTCAAAAAAAACTGTTTCCCCTGACATGGGAAGCCATTTAAATCATTCTGCGTCTGCTGAACTGTTCAACTGTTCTCCTCATATTTGATTTCATGTTTCCAGGCAAAGGCTCTTGTCTTTTAAAGTCTTGCTTTCAAAGCCTTTTGCTGTAAGGAGCTCAATGCCCACACTAATTGGGACCAGCTCCGTTGCGCAAGGGAAATCTCCCTCTTGTTGTCTCTCTGACTCTGACTACCTGTCTGTCTATCTGACTCTGATTGCCTGTGTCTCTCTCTCTCTCTCTCTCTCTCAATCTCTGCTTGTCAACAGCTTACATTCTGCTCCTATGTTTTGCAGTGACTGCATTTTGCAGGTGAACGCAGCTCAGAAACAAGAGTGCTATCAACCGAACCAGATTGGCTCTGTAATGCAATGAAAAGACACTTGCACACGGCATTCACATGAGTACACACACACGTTCTCATTCACTCACTCACTCACTCACTGACTCACTCACTCACTCACTCACTCACTCACTCCCTCGCTCCAAAATGGATAGAGATGAGATGCAGAGCCAGAGCAAACACAAGCCACAAACTGCTGCAAATTGCCACCTGAAGGACAATTACGGCAATTGGTTCCAAACAAAATTTGTTTGTGTTAATTTTTTTTTAGTCGTGGCCATGCAGAGATGTGATACCGCTCTCTCCCACACCTCTCAGCCACTCATTGCTGCCTATGCAAACTCCCTTTATCTCACCTCAAATCTACTATCTTTCCATTTTCCATTTCCACCGCAAAGGAACAACTGTGATCGTGACGTCGTCTTTAATAGCTTTCTTCTGATGGAACTTTTCTTTGTCACAGTAAAATGCTACTTTTGTGCAAATGGCATTATGTGGAGACAGTTTTATGTCAATTTTTCCAGTTTCATTCACGCGGGCAGATCGCACTTGCCGGAAGAAGCTGGGGCCAAGTCAATAAGTACTGCAATCCAGCCTGCCTTCTCACAAATCAGTGCAGTGCTTCGACCGCTCGTAATGAAAAATGGGCTCTTTGCAAAGCAACAGAAATTGCTTGCTGCTTCGGAACTTAAATCATTAAAGTTGCTTCTTTCAATTTTGATGATGCTGGAAAAGTACATTCATTTTTCATGCTGTCGTGCCACATCAACTCTCTTAATATTAACTACTGGCTGTTCTCGCATAATGGATTTCCAGGGGTAATAATCCCTCTCAAACTAAATACATTTGGTCATTCAATCCACGGCCTGTTTGTGGGACACTGCAGTGTGCAATTGTCTGCCACGTTTTGACCCACAAAATAATCAGTCCACTTTACAATATATTCTGTGAAGCGCTTTGAGACGTCTGAACGACGTGATAAGGCATTATATCAAATGCAAGGATATTTATTATTAATCGGATGTAAGGTTGGCTTGGTCATGAGTACTTGCACCTCTGAGTTAGAAAGTTGAGGGTTCAAGCCAGTTATATTTGAGCTTTGAACTCACAACGTCTCGACTGACACTCGTGATGATGGTGAGAACCCCTGCATTGTCAGAGGGCTTTCGGATGAGACTTTAATCCAAGATCGTGTCTGCCTGCTCAGGTGGATGTCAAAGATCCCATGGTGCTACTCAAAAAGCAAAGCAAAATCTTGGCCAACAATCCCCCATATAAAAGTGGTCACTCACTTTTTGGCTGCTTGCAGGACATTGCTGTGTGCAAATTGGCTTTCAGATTGGCCTTGTGAAGCTCTTTCAGATATGCTGACAACGTGATAAGGTGTTATGTCAAATGCAAGGATTATTATTAAAAATTGGTGAAGAAATTCAATAGCAACGACTCGCATTTACCTAGCGTCCCTCACGAAGGGTAGTGTCCAAAAGCACTTGACAGTGGCGAAGCACAAAATAGTTCTCCAGGAAGAGAAGCCTTTTTTTGGTTCAACCGGATGTCTGACACTTGCGGAAACCAGTGACAATGCAGAGATGTAATGCTGCACCTCCTTACCCTCCTACCTGTGCTAACTCCCTTTGCCTCATCTCAAGCTTCTTTGCATTTCCACTAGCTTGCTCTCCCAGGTACTCTGCTCTTTCTCTTTTCTTTTTACTGTGCTGACTGACTGAACATTGAGTCTTTCGTTGACATACCCACGGAGCTGACCTTTATTTGCCTTGGCCTGTTCAGTGCCAAGACACTGATTTGCTTTTCTACTGAATAACGGCCTGTCACTGCTCTACTTCTGTGTAAATATTCAATAGTTGACCACATTACTGATAGATATGATCTTTCCCCACCTCTATTTATTCACTGAACTCGATAAAGACAGGATTAACCTCCGGGGTGGTGTGTATGTGTATGTGTAGGGGGAATTGGAGTTGGGGGAATCTAATTAACCTTTAGAAACAGCCAGGCAGATGTAGGAGATCCTGGAAATATATTGGAGGCATTTTTGTGAGAGAGGAAGGAAAGACTTGACTGTTTAACTACTAATAGACGGGGGAAGAGAGCTAATGTGCAGTTACCTTTTATCTTGTCGGACTCGGGTGTTCTAATAGATCTCTCAAGACAAACCACTGAGAGCTCCACACATGTTCAGGAAGCTTTGTACCATGGGGTGTTTTTGCCATCCATTGTTGCTGTCAGACTGTTCCAGTCAAGGTTGTAGCGCGACATTTAATATGAATAATATTTATCTTATTTAAGCAAGATAAATAATGCTTAGTGGGTGTTGTGCCTTTCACTGCCCACCTTTACAGGCAGATCTGAGACACGCAATAAGAACGAACAAATGAATGAGAAAAAAGTCGACATTTTTATCCAATCACCCCCTCCAAAAAAAACTCTCTTCAATGTCTTAAATCAATAACAGTTTCACTTTGCTGGAAACAATTTTTTTTCATGCTCGGGTTCAAATCCCTCATTATCTTTCGACTCGGGATATCCTCCCGACGTGAAAGGCGCTATAGAAATACAATCTGTGTTTTGTTCTTGTTAAAAAGAATTAATTCTGCCGAGCCTTCTTCAGACCGGAGCCAAGAGAACAGGAGAGGGAAAGTGATCCTTACGTTGTGTGCAGCCTTGCTGTTACTGATCTACGTGTTTGTTGTGTTTCTCTTTCAGAGGTTTAGCAGTGGGAGTCGGATTTGGAGCCATAGGCAAGACCTCGACTGCAACCTTTGAAAGTGCAAGGTAAGGCTTTACATCTATTGCCTGAAATCCGGGATTTTCACCCTCCATTCTGCCACATAGAGGGCTGGTGTTATTTCAGGTGATGGCTTGTTCCGGGAAGGTTCCATTATCCATGGATTATGGGATCAGTTTGGCTCTTTGAACATTGTTTCCCAGCCAGCCTTGAAAGGGAATAGCGCCGAGTCCAAACTTGCTGTCTGTTCTATTCTTAATCCTCAATGACAATGACGATGAAATCAGTTGCATAAGCGAGTGGGTATCAGGCTTCACTTTGTCACCATGGGACTTATGGAAGATTAAGCTCAACAGATAACTGCAGAGCCTATCTTGACCACTGTTAAACGCAAAACTTTTGCAGCCTAGCTCTTGCTATTATGTCTGGATTACGAGGTCATTCCGCTCGTTGAACACTTGTTGCTATTTTGCGGCCATGATTGGGGAGCCTTGATGTGTGCGGTGGCGTGTAAGGAAGGCTGCTGTGCAAGCAATGAGAAGTCTCTTCGGGAAGCCCGGTTCACGCTGAGGATTTGAACAATCCCGTGTGGTGTGGGCTGTTGGGCTCCGAAACTCCCAAGTTGAGAGATGCCCTTCTGCCCTCAACGGCGCCGAAACAAATAGGCAGAGGACCAAGTGTTTTGTAGCCTCAGCGAGTGGGGCAGCGAGGAAATGGAGCAGCTATTCAATCGCACTCTTTAGATGCGCATTCTCCCTACGTGGAAGGTACAATACAACACAAAATTACATTTGTAAAGCACCTTTCAGATCGGGAGGATGTCCCAAGGCATTGAACAGAGAGGGATTAGGACCGGAGCAGGTGCGGGGTGGTTGGAGGGTAGGAGGATGGCCGAAGGCACGGTCGAAGAGGAAGGTCTTGAGGCGTGCCTTGAAGGAGGTAATGGAGGGAGTGAGGCCAAGGGAATGTGGGATGGAGTTACAGAGTGTGAGGGCAGAGGGTAGGTAGGTTCATAAGTACAGATTGTTGTTGTTTACAACAAGAACAAGAACAACAACTTGCAGTTGTATAGCGCCCTTCACGTAGGGTAAACTCACTTCCAAAGCCATTTTGCCTCATTAGTTTCCTTCCAAAGCCCCCCCCCCCCCCTTGTAGAAACTTTTTGTTTCAAACATCTTGATCTCTGGTCAGCATCTTTGAGCACCACTGCATTTCACAAGTGCTTTTGAGAGATTCTTTTATATGAAAGGCACTGTAAAACTAATGGCGTTTCCTCTATTACTGCAAATCAACCATATGGAAAAACAGAGCAAATTCCCACTTCGCAACTCGGTGGAAGGTTGAAGACAAGTGCCTTTCAGCTCCAAGCTGCGGAAGCAGAAAATCGAGGAATGTCAAAGAGCCTTCCAGTACTTTGATGTTCATCTGTTTGGCTCTACGTTGAGAAAACACTCACTTTGGGTAAATGTGCCAGATCCTCAGAGAAAGGCAAGGCATCCTCTGTAGCTCTGAAACTCTTACCTAGCCTTGGGCTGGAAGAGCATTTTGGCTTAGAAATTTAAGAGCTCCAATTCAGCCTCAAATTTTCAAGCACGGCAGATAATCAAGCGGATTTCAGTTTCAAACTGGATTGAATATATATCCACAGTTGCGCACGATCTTAAATATTAAGACAGTGTTGCCTTACAGACCCAAGTGGAATTTCAGTACCTACCTACCTAGCTAGCTTCCAGCAGTCTTGCAGATTACATTTCCTGGTATTCATTTCCAGCGATTTTCATGCTAGGTCATTCCAAAGTGTAACTGTTATTGAATTAAGATATTGGAGGGTAGTTTTTTTTTGGGGGGGATGGGGTGTGGGGATGGGGTGTTGGTTGTTGGCAGCTATCTAGAGAGATGGTGGAAGGCTCGATGGGCTGAATGGCTTCCTCTTATGTTTTCAATCCTGTCGTAGATTCTTGGATTTCGAAATCTGCATTGGAAACGTTCATGTGGCTTATTTCCCAGGGTTGAGTTGCCAAGATTTCACTTGCATATAAGGGAGTTACTTTCCTGACAATAAGAGCCTTCACTCCATCCAGCAGAATGCAAATAACTTGAGACAAGAAAAATACACATTTGGAAATCTTTTTAAATGTCACCGGTTTAGACAATTAGGACTGCAGTCCGAGGAAGGCGAACAGTTTCCTGAGCAAATGTTAGCAAAGCCTTTCCAGTCTTGAGATTGAAGTCCCTGTTCTGCTTTTCATTGGAATAAGAAGCTTGGCTCAGTTGGTAGCATTCGCGGCTATGAGTCAGAAGGTTGTGGGTTCAAGCCCCACATCAGGATTTGAGCTGATATGTTAGTGAAGTGGTCAGGGATCTTTGTGTTGTCAGAGATGACCTTTCTACAGATGAGGAATTAAACCAAGGTCCCCTCAAAGTCTGTTCAGGCGGACGTTACAAATCCTATGACACTTATGTGGAGTGCAAATTGGCTGCTGCATTTGCCATCAAAAATACGGCCATTTGGTTTATGCTGTATCAAATGCAAGGGTTATTATTATGATGATGATGAGTATCATTTCAGAAGGACAGGGAGCAAAATGTATCATTGCAACTGGACTGGATCAGTTGCACCCATTATCTGATGTAAAATGAACTTTGTTGTGCTGTAAAAACAACCAGTGTAGTGGTGTTGAGTGTTCAATGAGGTCAGAGATCTACAGTTATGGTACTTGGGAAGACACCGTGCATAAATTGAACAGTTTTATTTCTGCACTTGACTCCAGGACCACTGCTGTGCTGACAGAATGTCTGTCAGGCATCAAGTCCTGGATTAGAGCTAACTTTCTTCAGTTAAACGTCAGTAAGACCGAGGCTCTCCTGATTGGCTCCCGTCAGCGCCTCCTCACCTCAGAGGCTCGACTGTGCAAACTCCCTGCTTGTCGGCCTCACCAACTTCTCCCTCCACAGGCTGCAGGTCATCCAGAACTCTGCAGCCCGTGTCTTCTCCCGCTCTAGGCTCCGCGACCCTATCACCCCCAACCTCGCCCAACTCCACTGGCTTCCCGTCACACAGAGGATACAGTTCAAGATCCTGGTCCTCACCTTCAAAGCCCTCCTTGCCTTGCTCCCCCTGACCTCTCCAACCTCCTGACCCGTTGCCACCCTGTTCACTCCCTCCGCTCAACGGGCTCCGGCCTGATTCATAACTCCCGCCTTGCTCGCCCCACTAGTGGCAGGCGGGCCTTACGCCACTCCGCGCCCCCCCCCCCACCCAGAACTCCATCCCGCAGTCCCTTCATCTCGCCCCTTCCCTCGCCACCTTCAAGACCCACCTCAAGACCCTCCTCTTCGACCGTGCTTTCGATCTCCCTGCTTCAATGAGGCAATCTGACCTCCACCCACCACCCCCACCCTTGACCAGGCAGTGCAATCAGCTGGCCAGCCTCACACGCTCAAGGCTGGTGGTGAGCAGAGATGCCAGGCTGTTCTGCTCCAGCTTTGCATTGGTACTTTACAGTGTAGGTCATTTGCCTTGTGGCAGCTGAGCTGTTGTGGGATATTCTGGGAGGAACGGAACTTAACGCCTTGCTGCGTTCTGTCAATAGTTTGCGCTTGCATGCAAGGCAAGAACAAGATCACCACCTAAACTAAACCAAACCAAACCAATTAGCAGTTAAATGACACGCCATGTCGGTAGTCGCATGCTGTAGTAATGGAGAATAACTATTATATTATTATTACGGGAGAAATGGCCACTCTGCCCTTGATTGATTAAGTCTTCTTCTGGGTAAGTATCGGAATGCCCACCTTAACTGTGCCAAGTCTTTCTCGGAAATATTACCATCTGCATTGAATAATATGATTTTAGTTTTTTTTATTGCCCCCCCACCCCTCCCCCCACCGCCGCCCTCCAACCACTTGTGCTCAGAAGAAGGGATTCAAGCACCACCACCGGGTTGCTTTCTCACAGGCCAGTGTGATGCGTTCCAGACATTGGCTTCAATCAACGGAGTGATGGGCATTGCTTATGACAGCCATGTGGCAATGATTTCTTCCCGTTAACTCACAAAGAGTTCTTCATCTCTGCAAGATCAAGGCTTCAGCGCTTTGTTACTTAACTGCAACTCATGTTTTTCGATCGTTTAGTGAAGGAGTCCCATTACACAGAACAATGCGTTCATTGAAAACCCAATGCAGACATTGAACTGCTTCACGTCCGAATTACAGCTGCCTAATTTCTCTCCAGCATTTTTCCCTGAAAGGGATGGTTCATAAACCCCACTCACTCCCTATGCATCTTCTACGTGCTGTAGTTTACTTACAAACTATTAACCTTTGAAACGCAGAGATGAGTTGCAAAAGCAGAAGTCTTGAGTGTAAAGTGATGGCTGACAATTATCGACGGCAGACAGAGAGATCCTGCCTCTTTGGTTGTGCTAAAATCTGTCTCTCACTTCCCGAGTCAGAAGGTTGTGAGTTCAAGCCCTGCATCGGGACATTTTTGGCTCCTATAATCCAGTGCTGGGGGTTGTTTTCGCTGCTGTCTTTCAGATGAGACATTAAACCGAGGTCCCGTCTGCCTGTTTGGAAGGACATTGGAAATCCTGTGTCACTGTTCGAAAAAGAGAAGGGAATTTCTCCCAGTATTCTGGCTAACAAGGGCTGGGACCAATTACGGTTTTTAGCCTTTGGTCGGGATATTGATCCCCACGCCATTCCCCTCCGCTCCACTCTCTTACTAAATCCTTACGAGCAGAGCAGTACAATGCAAAGGCAATCTCTCCTTCTGTTGTGTCGAAACACGTGTAAATACTCGCGAACAAAATAGTCGTCATAAAATGCTTGTTGGCTCTTATTAGCGTTTAGCAAGCGGTGATGTTCTGAGGCAGAACGGAAGCCAGGTGCAGCCAGCAGTTTGGTACTTTGGTAAGTTCTGTCCTTTTGCATTCACCGTGAAAGGGAACATCCTTAATCATTTCATGCTGTGGAGGGCGAATGCAAATTGTGCCATTTACGAATACCTTCAAGTGCTCTTTCGCACAACGAAATGTCGTTCGCC